GGTGCTGATGCCCAACGCTGGGGCACGATGCCTGATGCTCACTGCATGCTGCTCTCTCCCCAGTGATCGTGGAATGCTGTGCACGGCTCTGCCCTGGTCTCGGCAGTGGGACGAGCTCTACGCTGAGCACTGCTGTCCCCTGTGCCCACCCAGGGACCGCGGCGGGGGAGAGCTGCCAGACAGGTACTGCCGGGGCTGGGACCGTCCCACTCATGGCCCTTTGTCTGTGGCCCCACGTGCCAGCCGTGTGCACCGGTGCCACACTGGGACCTGGGGTACAAAGCCGGGAGCTGTGGGGTGCCGGCTGTGGGTCAGCCCTGCTCAGCATCCCCCACTTCTGCCTCTGCCCATAGATCCGGAGCGAGGAGCTGGCGCAGGGCGGGCACCAATGCCGGAGGCCACAGGGCAGCAGCGGACAGAGGCTGAGCTGCTGCCCTTCCCTGGAACCCCCGTCAGGACTGCCGAGGCCCCCAGCCCCCAGGCGAGCCCCGCAGGTCCCCGGGCAGGCAGGGAGGGGACAGGGCCCACAGTGCAGGATGGAGCAGCCATCGAGCACCCGGGAGCCCCGCTCCCTGCAGGCACTGCTGAGCAGGCAGCTGCAGGCAGCGAACCGCCGTCTCCCGCCAGCCTGGGGGGGACCAGTGTGGGACCGCCAGTGCCCGTGGAGCCAGGCACAGCTCCTACCACCACATACCCCCCTGGGACTGACCCTGTAGGAAATGTGACGGCAGAAGGTGCTACGACCCCACAAGGGACCCCCTCGCATTCCCCATCCTCCATGACGGTGTCTGGCTCTGCCCGGGGACAGCGGGGGTCCCCCAGCACCCTGCTGGGATGGACCCCCATGGGGACAGCACTCGTACAGAGCCGAAGGGGCTCACATAGCCCATTGTCCCCGGAGCTGTGGGCTGGGGAGGGCCTGGGAGCCACCATCCCGCTGGGTGACAGTAGCCCAGGGACACACTCAAGCATCACGCTGGCCACAGACAGCCCAGCGCCAGGGACAATCGGGATGTCACCCTTCGCAGGGGGGCTGCAGAGGCTGCTGACCCCCACCCGGGCACTGGGTGTGACACTGAGGCCCGCAGGCAGA